ACATTTTAAGCTAGTAGGTAAGTATGGTAAATCACCCTGATTAGGCCAAACTGCCTTGATGGCTGCTGTCAGCCAATCCAGAAGTGCCAATTTCCTGAGGTGTGATGGGCACTTTGCAGCCACTGCCAGAGAGATGAGTGAGTCATCACGTAAGCCATTTCAGAACCTGACATAACAATGTTTACTACCCCCATATCCCAGAGACACAAAAGCCATGTAGGCAGAGGTTCCGATGGCTTCTGCTGATACCAGGCACTCATATCCAGCAGCTCATCCTGGTTATAGGGGCAGAGCATGAAGAGCTCCACAACCTGGGGAGGAGGAGGCTCCACCCCCTGAGGAGCCTGGGGTTGTTGTGTTTTTACTTTATTAATTACAACCAGCTGGGCCTTTAATACAGGAGAGGCTGGTGCCTCAGCAACAGATCAGCCCTCCGCCACATACCCTCATCCTCTCCTGATATCTTCTCTACTATCTCTGGGGCTGAAGGCACTGCTCTTTCCTCCCCCTCCCCAATGGCCTTCTGAAATGTAAATTCTTTAGCTGCCTCTTCCCTCACTGCTAAATTATCCTCTAGGAGTGCAACCAGTCTTCTTAATAACTATCTCTCTTTCTTAGGACATCCCATGAGTCATCACCTTCCAAGTGATGGGCTCCTCCAAGCAATGCTGAAGTGTTTCTCTCTCTGCTGAAGTCTCTCTCTCTCCTCTATAATCTTCTCTCTCTCCTTGATAACACTTTCTACTATCTCCAGGAGAAGAGATCCTACAATGCCAAGTGCTACACAGCCATTCAGGGCCTCTAAGCAATCTTCTATCTGACGGAGGGCTCATTCTAAAGCTTCTAGTGTCTCCACCCTTCCCCAGTTCTGGGGAAGGCCCCACCCCTCTAGGAGATGTTTGACCCTAGACCAGTTCTCCACTAGTGGCTCCCCAGTTGAAAGCCCCACATATAGGGGGTTACCGTGTGAAGCTACACCCTCTACTGCTGCAGCCACTGGGGCCTCCCCACCATCCTTAGAGGCAGCCTGCCCAAAGGCAGCACCCATGTAAACAGATTTTGGGTTCAGAGTTCCTAACTACCTCCAGATGTAACTCCAGGGGAAAAATCCTGGGCAAAATGCCTTTGAATCTGAAATCAGTCAAAGGGAGAAATAAAGTGAGAGAAATCCATTTATTTCTTACAAGCAGTTGTCCCAGTCTCTTTTGACCCAGCTGCAGAAGAAGAGAGAGCTTCACCTAGCCTCTCTGGTCCAGATATGCCCTCACTTACCCTTGTAATTACCTATTGATATGGAGATGACTACTTCTCTCCACCCCTTGGAAATGCTTATTGATATGGATATGCACTAAAGCCCAGTGAGAGATTCTGGAAATATTGCAGTTTTACCCATACATGGCAAGAGGAATTTGTAGATGTGATTAAGGCTAAGGGAGTTGAAATGGCAAGTGTAGGTAAAATTACAATATTTCCGGAATCTCTTGCCTGGCCTTAGTTCATCTCCATATCAATATCATTTCTAAGGGGTGGAGAGAAGTAGTCCATCTCCATATCAATAGGTAATTATGAGGGTGAGTGAGGGCATATCTGGATAGCAGAGTTTGGGTGGGAGTCTCTTCTTCTGTAGCCAAGTCATGAGAGACATAGGAGAGCAGAAGTGGACTGCTTGTAAGAAATAAACAGGTTTCTCCTACTTTTTTTCTCCCTTTGACTGATTTCAGTTTCAAAGGTATTTTGGCCCAGGATTTTTCCCATGGAGTTACAGCAAGATTATACTGTATTGTCCAGGCAGGCCCTATGTAATCATACAAGCTCTTAAAAGTGGAAGAGGATGGTAGAAGAATGGATCAGAGATAAGAAGGAAGAAGAAAGAGCAGAGATTCAGAAAGTGTTAGAAGGACTTCAACCCTTAATGGTGGCTTTGAAGATGGAGGAACTGGGCCTTCACCAAGGAATGTGGGTGATCTCTAGAAGTTGGGTGTGGTCCCTACATGACAACCAAAAAGGAGGTGGAGATATCAAACTTACAACCTCAAAGAACTGATTTCTGTCAATAACTTGAAGGAGCAAGGAAAGGAATCTTCCCCTATGACCTCTAGAATGAAACACAGCCCAGCCTTATACCTTGATTTTAGTCTGGTGAGACCCTTGTTGAACTTCTGACATACAGAGAGATAGAACATTATGTATACAACATCCCCCCCAAATATACACATGCACACACACATACAAACACAGACACATTAATCAAATTGAATCATTTTTTCATAATAAATCTTTCATTTTGTTAACGAATGAAAACATAATTTGAGTAAGGATCATTTAAATTACAGACTACATGATTGATTTTGTCATCTTAAAAATTTAGACAGAAAAAAAAATCACTGAATTTTTCAAGAGTGTAGGTGTTATTAGGCACAAAGACAAATATGAGCAGGATGAAAAGAGGATGAGGCCCACCAAGAACCTAGGGAGTTAATCAGACTAAACCAGAGACCTAGAAAGGACTCACACCCTTTGAAATGTGAGTTCATTCTACCTTCTCTTAATCTGCGCTGACCTTGAAACTTGCTCTGGCTAATGCAGGTGAGATAGGGCAGAGAGATGGGACAAGCATTATGATTAAATTTCCTTTAAAATGCTGAGATTAGCGTAATAAGAACAAGAGGGATTTATTTTAAGGCAAAGATTCCACTTTTGAAAGAGAATTGGGAAGTTACACTAACATTCTTTGGTAATCAGCCAATAACTTTTCTTAAGGCAAGGCAAGCAGTCTTAACTGATGTGTTCCCAGTGCTTGGGAGTGGCCACTGTTAGAGAGAAACAAAAGGTTCATCCTACAGAATTACATAGACAATGACGTATTGTCCCTCAAGGGAGATGGAATCATGAGGTGAGACTGCCTAACAAGCCTACACCCCCAACATTTTACCTTTGCCCCATTCTTGAAAGCCTTAAAAGACAGAATCCAAGACTTTGGGCATTCTCTCTGAGGTTGCCCGCACTCCCCTATGTTGGAATGTGTATTTTCAAAATACTTCTTACTGCTCAACTTACTGCACTTTGTCTCTGTGCTCTTCCAGTGGTGTCTCTGTCACTGCTATTCCCTTCTATTTTGCAATCTTTAAACACAAGTCTTCACTCTCTCTGTCCTACTCCAGATAAGCAAGTAAACCTGCCTTTATTTACCTTGACTCTAGCCCATTCCTCCCTTAGTGTCCATTCAAATAAAACTTTCATTCTTCTTCACTACTGTGTCTCTGTCCTTCAGTTCTTTGTTGTAGTGGGGACGAGAACTGAGGAGAACAAACACATCACCCCAATTATGAGATGAAACCTGTTTATATATATTTATTAAATTTTTATATTTACTTAGGCAGTGATTTCAATCCCATCTACATACTCTACCACACTTTGTAGTTGGATATATGTGCTGTTAAAATATATCATAATGCTTCCCAGGCTTTGTTGGATATTAAGTGACTACAGTGTCCCCAGCTCATAATGCAGCGAAATGTCTTCTTTTTCTTTTGCTTAGTGACAGTTCAGGGCACAATTATATAACATTTTATGGTTTGTAATATGTATTCCAGTTTCTTTGAAAAACAACATAGAATTATTTAACACAAATGCACAATATTTGATAGGAAGACGCCATAATATATGTCACAATTAATTGAGTTTTAGATAAGATTAATGCTCATGACATTCCATTAGAAGAATATGCATTCAAAATTTATTCATTTTATTTGATACAAAGTGATTTTATATGACTTAAAATTTTTAGTTAATATAACATCAACAATTCTCAATTATCACTTGGAAAATATATTCTAATATTAAAGAAGAGCTATTAGCAGGTGCTTTATAGTTACTATACATTCACTGCCCTTTGAGTTTTAGAACATATTTAGTTTTTGTTTGTTTGTTTGTTTCTCTGCCCACTGAAGTCCTCTTATAAGGACTTCAGGGCCAGCACTGCCTTCTCCATAAAACCTTCCTGTTTATAGCCAAATAGTTGCCCTTGCTGGTTCCCTCCCACATCATATGGCTTGCATCTTTTTTTTTTTTAAATAGACTTTATTTTTTAGAGTAGTTTCAGATTCATAGAAAATTGAGTGGAAAATACAGAGACTTCCCATACACCCCTTGCCACCACCCCCACCGGTGTCCCACGTAATTAACATGCCCCACCAGAGTGGCACATCTGTTACAATTAGTGAACCTACATAAACATATCATTATCACCTAGAGAGCAGATTTAGTTTTAAATCTAAGTTCCAGGCATTCATTTATCTAACATTTATTAATTCCACAAGTATTTTTTAGTTTCATATGTGAGGAATTGTACTAAGAAGTAGGCACTGAGACACTGATTTCTTGTGTGACCCTAAGCAAGATAATTAAATTAAATAAGCCACAATTATTACATTTGTAAAATTAGGCCAATTATATTTATTCATAAGAACATCTTGAGGATTAAGTGAGATAATATATATATATATATATATTGCTTGAAAGGGTAATATATATATATATGATGCTTGAAAAATATATATGAAAATGAATATATTAAATACTTGAATAGAAAAGCTAAAGAATCTTAAGTTGTCTTTTAGAAAGTTATGTTGTTAGTTAAAATCTACATGTTTTTGTTATTTTAGAATCATAATCAATTAAAAATTATATGGGAAAAAGTCAGTATTTTTATAATGAGTTTTCTGTTATAATATTGTTATGGTTAATAATACTATTATGAGTTATGCTCACTTTGAATAACTATTAATTAAACTATAGTATACTTATCATGTTCTAGAATGTTGCATTACCTTGTTATGCATTATCTTTTTAATATTCTCCCTAGAGAAAAAGGAACATTCAGTGAGAAACATGCTATAATTTAATTATCGCTCTTTGGTAGGGCAACCTAACAAAAGGAAACATGAAAAAAGCATAACAAAATATACCATGTGAATTTCTCTGTTTTTAATTTCCTTTAGGCAACAGACCCTGATGCTGGAATAAATGGCCAAGTGCACTACAGTTTGGATAACTTCAATAATCTTTTTCGGATCACATCCAACGGGAGTATTTACACAGCAGTGAAGCTTAATAGAGAAGTCAGGGACTACTATGAACTTGTGGTTGTGGCAACTGATGGAGCAGTACACCCTCGTCACACAACTCTAACACTGGCCATAAAAGTTTTAGATATTGATGATAACAGTCCTGTGTTTACCAATTCAACATATACAGTTGTTGTTGAAGAGAATCTGCCAGCTGGAACCACGTTTCTTCAAATAGAGGTGTGTGGAAGCAGCATTAATTTCATGAATTCATCATTTCAATATTTGCCATTAGCATAGAAGGGTCAGATTTAGCAAATAAAAAAAACAACACACCCAATTAAATTTCAATTTCAGGAAAACAATGAGTACATTTTTAATATAAGTATCTCTCAAATATTGCATATTTCATTTTATCTAAAAGCCCTACTTTAGTGATATACCCAAAATTAAGGGGAGAAAAGGTGCATTTGTAAGAAATGAAGCAACACTTCTTAATACACTTTTTATATTTGCAAAATTATGCTGTATAATTCTTGTAAAAGTTGACAATACAGTAGTCCATAAAGAAAAGGTTAATCATCTCCTATCTTGTACCTCCAAAAAACTCAGTATTAAATTTTTATGTGTATTCTGTCACATTTATCTTTGTGCTCACACAAGTATCAAATAAATATTTTATATTCATAGATACTCATGTATATGTAAGTATGTGTGTATATATGCATACACACATACATAAGTATAGGCTTTCCTCTATTTTACAGAAATGTGATATTGTTGCACCCATTATTCTGAATATTTTCTATTTACTTTCAATACACAACTGGTATCTTTCCAGAGATCTAGCTCTCCTTTTTAACAGTGTCTCCATACCCAAGCCTTTTTTTCTCAGTTTCCAAGTACAATATTCCCAAAATATCTGAACATTCTGATTCAGTAAGTTAGGTTGGCCCAGAAATCTGCATTTTAAGTAACCATCCCTTTAATTCTGATACAGATGATCTATGAAGTATGTTTTGGAAAAAAAAAAATTATGCTTCTTCCTTGACCTGAAATCTACACCTTGAATTGTATGAGTTTCAAGAACTTGTATTTCTTTCATAACTCAACTCAATAAATGTTTAGGAAATAAGTATTAATAAATCTGAAGAGGGTAGATGCTGATCAGGGAGAGGTCCGTTATTTCTTCATTTATTCTTCTATTCGTCTGTTCATTAATTCATTCATTTACTAATCAAGCATATTTTCAGTGTTTGTATGCTAAGTCCTTTGCTAGACTGTGGGGATTCAATCATGAACAAGAGAGATCTCCTGCCTTCATGGAGTTTTCAGTCTAGTATCAGACAGACAAACTTGTTATTAAGTTAGTGGTCCTCAATGCAAGGGGCCTAGGAGATCACAGGTGGAGTGCTTAACCTAATCTTGAGAATAAAGAGAAGTTTTGTAGAGAAAGTTACTTTCTAAATTGTGAACTGAGGGGCAAGTAAGAGTTATTCAAACAGAGAGGAGGAAGATTATCCAAGGAAGTGGCAATATCATGCTAAATCCTAGTGAAGAGGAGAAAGTGACGAGCTAAACTGTTGAAAATGTATGGGTCTTTCTCATCATCTTAAGGAGATCACAGTTGACCCAAAATCAAATGGAACACAGGAAGGATTTTAGGAAGGAAAAGGACATCATAGTTGTGATGTTGACAATTGATTGGAGGGAGCCAAGACTAAAGTTCACACAAGAGGTGTTTGCATTGCTGCATTATACGCGAAAAAGCCATGATCTTCTCCACTCCATTTCCTCTACCAGAGGTCCCCTCCAGTCTGTACTACTGAATGAAGTAGTGATCCTACAAAACTTGCATAAAACCTATTCTTTCAACTGGAAGATACCACTCCCAATTCTGAACTCCTGTCTGCCAAAATATCACTCTTTTCCTTCTGGTTTGTGTATGTGTCATATTTCTTCTCTGAAACAGTAACCTGGAGAGCAGGAATTATGTCTTGATTCATCTTGTACATCTCTATAGCACCTCATGCATAGTAATTACTCAATCAATATTAATTAAATGAAGGAAGTTATAATACAGTGATGTCTAGAAATGTATCATAGGATCCTTTGAGAAAAAATTATTACTTATATTTTCTTGGTTTCTTATAGTCCTTTAATATATTGTGTTTATAGAGAGCACTCAATAACATTTATTTTTATTTAAAATATTATTTTTCAAGGTTATACAATCAGCAGAAAATTATAAACAATCATTTATGGCAACATTAATTTCTTTACCATGGTATGACTCCTTTAAGTAGTGATTCTTTATGTACAATAAATATAGTGATAGGATCAACAATGACAAAATCTCGAGTCTGTGTCTCTGTTTCTCCCCATCTTTCTGTCTCTCTTCTCCTCTCTCTCTCTGGAAAATTACTCAACAAAAGTGCTTTTCTCTGAAACTTCTCTTCTATTCATCATTGAACTCATGCTGTTGTAGACACTGACATGATTTTCATCAGTCCTACATTCCTTTAGTTTGGTAACACCCCTGATACAACCAGTCTTCTGCTTAACCTGTTACAGGCCAAAGATGTTGACCTTGGAGCAAATGTGTCTTATCGGATAAGAAGCCCTGAAGTGAAGCACTTTTTTGCGCTACATCCATTTACAGGAGAACTATCCCTGTTAAGAAGTTTGGACTATGAGTCATTTCCAGACCAGGAAGCAAGTATCACTTTTCTAGTAGAAGCCTTTGATATTTATGGAACAATGCCACCTGGTATTGCTACTGTCACAGTGATAGTAAAGGTAAGAAATATAGATGACTTCCAGCTCCCACTTTCTATTTTCTACATAAAACTTGTTATTCATACTTTACCTATAATAACTGGGGGCAAACAATTTATAATATAGTACAGTAGTATCATACACAGAATACATATTTTTTTAATATGAAGCATTGATGAAGGCTTGAGAAATATCTTCATTGTTTAACTATGAAAGACAAATTTGAATGAAATACTAAATAAGAGAGCCAGCTCTGTGCAGCTATTAGCTCTGTGATTTCTACCAAGTCAGAATTTCTACACAGTACAGTTTGGTTCAAACTCCACAGCACCAAGGATACTAACTCTGTTCAAACCCTTCAATTTAAAAAATTTACAAAAGAAAACTTTGACTCTGAAAGATTAAGAGTTCTAAGACTCAAAAACTAATTAGTTTAGTTTAGGTTGGTAACACAAGGTTCTGGAATGAAGTAAGCTTTGGAATCAGACAGAATTGAAATTAAGTTCTGGTTCAACCATTTTCAAGTTCTGTGACACTGGGGACTTTGTTAAACTCTCTAGATTTGTTACCTCACTCACTATAATATCCTGTGCCAAATGATTGCCTGAAAGAGCACGAAATCATCAACATTTTTGGTTTGTAGTGATTTTTCACTTACACCTTTCAAAGAAGATAATAGAACAGATTAATTGGTTCTCAAGTATTAGTGTATATTAGTACGAGCTGCATTCTAAATTTTCAGGTTTTTCTGATCCTACCCAAAAGAGCACCTTTCCCATGGGGAAAACATCATCAAAGCATTTCTTCAGATTTACGTCTGCCTAGAATAAGAGAAAGTTAGGTTCTGGGGATGACTCCAATTCTTGAAAGACACTTTCAGTATCAGGCTCTATGTTTACAAGGTAATAAATTTCACATGGTCATAAAGTAGGTAAGATCATAGGAACTTTTCTACAGTGCTCATTTTTATAGGACACTGCAATGTGTAAATGATGGGATAAGAAATCATCAATTATCTTGAGTTTTTCTTTGATTGTTTAACCGATAAGTAACTAGTATATGCTACTGCTGTTCTTAGACAATAAAATATTGATAATGGTAATACAGAAAATTGTTAAAGATTTCACCAGTACATAATTAGCATAACATATAGGTAAATGCTCTAATGCTGTTGACTGTAAGATTTTTTTGGGTCTGGGCTTTTTCTTGCTGTTAATGATGTTGTTTGCCAGTTTCTTTTATACATAGTCCTGAAATCAAAGTGAGACACAGGAATTACTCCACTGTCTTTTCTTTGCACTTGACCTAGTCTTATCTGCTGGTACACATGATGCCATTTCTTTTCTAGAGTACTGATGTCTCCTTTAAAATATGTTAGAAAGGGGAACAAATGTCCCTTCCATCCCCAGGTACCCTAAAACTGTCTGGAGGGTTTTATTAGGGTCTGAACTGCTTCTCTCTCAGCAGTCCACAATGACTCTATCCCTATTTCTTCCATTTTGTGCTTCTCTATCCTAAGAAATGTATGTATTTCAAGGAGTTAAAATTTTATTCAGCATTAAGTTCTCTTTGGGAATAGAATTTGAACTGTTAAAATATTATCTTGGGGCACCTGCATTTCTGTTTATATGTCTCTTTCCTGAGGCCATAATTTTTAGTGTTCTGGTGGCCATGGGAAGGATTAAGGGGCAACACAAAATCACGGAGGACCTGAGGGGCTTCAACTCATACTTTGAAATAGTATTGTGCCACCCTACTGTAGTAGGACATTTAGAAATTTAGAAATATGTTTACAAAGTCATTTTAGGAACATGATAATATTGGTGGTTATGGATATATTGTGATGGTAAAGAGAGGAAAAGAAAGAAGATGAGACTAATTTAGCTTTTTCTCTCCCTGGTGTACCCTTGCCTATCCATATGGTTTGGTGGAATTGAACACTAAAAATATTTAAAATAGAAAAAGTGTCCACTTATTGACTGTTTTGGACAATAAGAGAAGAAAAGACTTGTTACTAATGACGTTCCTCATATTCTTCCCAGATCCAAAGATGGATCCTCAAATGATAGAGTCTTCTCTCTCAGGATCTCAGGGTGGATGTGGCTGATAGTAGAGTTACAAGCCCTCCTGTCTTCCTTGGCTGCTCTGGATTCAGTTTACATTTATTTGCTTGCAATTTTTTTTTATGTATAAAAGTCATTTTGGGTCCAAAACTGGAAGTCAGATTGGGTCCAAAAAATGTCATCTACACAAGCAAGATGTGTACAAAATATGTCTCATTCTCTATCTGGGACTCAAGTCTCTTAAACTGCAGTCCATGTTCCCTGACCACCCCTTTATTTTCAGATTAGCCTTCTTCTACATCAGCTTGTGGAAAGGAGTTGCTCAGTGATGGGCTCATTCCTTCTTCAGAAACAGGAGAGTGTTGACCTAATTTTCATTGTCTCAGTGGCTTTATCTTATTCAGAGAAGTCAAACCATTTTATTGGCTAAGTCTCCCTGAGCTATCCAAAATTATTTCTGCTTTATTATATATTTAAGACAAAAGTTAATAAATCAGTATTTCACTTCAGATGTTTTCAATGCCACATTTTTTTTTCTTTTTCAAGGTAATGTAAGCATAATAAAATGTATAACATATCTCCTCAAAGTCAGGCTGACACCTTTCTCCTGATTACTCAGGATGAGATTATTACAAAGAGAACTTTAAAACTTTATTATGTACTAAAATTGGGGCCTATGAAAGTATCATATTTGTTTGTTTTGAAGGGAAAAATAGCATACAATTCTCATCTCTCAACAAATACAGATCTTTCCCAAGCTTTCAAATTTTCTGCTATTGGGCTGTGTACTTGTAGTACTGACAAGCTGTTTAGCTGATAACATAATTGCATAGTATTTGCTAAGAGATATTTCCATCCAAAACAGTCACCACATGATAAGCAACTTAAAGATCCCTCTTTGAAAAGGAGCAGAAACATAATTCCTTTTGTAAAGAAGTAAAAAAAAAAAAAAAAAGATCAAGCACTTAATATCTAGTCAATCAAATTTATTTAAACCTGGAATTGAACATGGGAAAATTGAAGGAATATTTTGAAGGAAAATATTTTCACAGTAAGGAAAGAAAATAGAACTTTATTCCAGACACCAGCAAAAAGTTTTCTTAGTGTCAAATTTCACAGATTCAAAACAAAACTGGTGATAATCATACAAATATGTATTTTTGTTGCAGTGTTTTTGCAGAATATTGATGACTTTTTTCTTTGTATATGTATTGAATATATAAGAGAATTGAATATTTGGTCATAGTAAAAAAATAGTAGCTAGTAAATAGATAATAATAATTGAAAATTTTATATGGATAAATCTCTGGAAAATTACTATGGAGTTCTTAACTGTTTAAAACATAAAATCCAAAGGAACATCAGCCCTTACAAACTGAGTTGTAATATATAATATGGAAAATACAGAGAAAGAAATTTTTTTTATATTATATTTAAATTTTTCTATAATAAGCCAAAAGCTGAATACAGGTCAGAAAAGTTGAAATATGTAAACAGATATATAATACTGAGTAGCAGAGGGCTGTAAAGGACTCATCTAAGATAAACAGATGACTTAGCCATCTTGCTGACTGATTTTAGGTAGAATGGCTGCACAGGAGTAGGGGAGAGTGAGGGAGAGACTTCTATGAAGGAAGGAGACTGGAGTCTGCCATGAATAAGAGCTGCAATTATTGGGAAACAGTGAATCTTGGAAGATTGAGCTGGCATTTCACCTTTTCAGACGAGTGTCCTCATCCAGGAAGAAAGTAGTTGGTCCTATCACCACAGGCTATTGGAGAGAAGGTAGCTTTTCTAGGTAGAAGCTCAATGTCCAGCACCAAGGTGACACTCACCACACCAAGGACATCTGACGAGAGGCGATGTGCCACTGGTGCTCCATGGTGACGGTACTGGAAGGGTCCTGGTTTTGATTTGGCCAGAGGAGCTGTGGTGTGTGGGACTAGCAAGTAGTCCAAGACTCAAACAACTCAGAAACATAGGATATTTCAAGATTTTGGCACCCTTACTTCCCTTGCTCTAGGGGGCAGAAATTGCATAAAAGATGATTTCAGTGAACCAGCCAAGGGGAGGATGGTCCAGGAGAGTGATCACTATTTTTTTACAACTTGTTGATTTCTCCCTTAGGATTGGTTGACCTGGAGAAAATACTTACTTTGGACTATGGCTTTCACATATTTTCCTCTATTCTGTTCTGCACTGTCATATTCTTGTTAGCACATTGTTTCCAATACTGCCAAGTTTAAGGGAAGTGAAGACATCAGGGAGAACATGTGGTGGGGCTGAGTCAGATTGTTTCTTAAAGTATCTGCATACTCTGCTATTCTAGAATTTTACGACTAGGATGTAACATATCTCCTCTAAAAAAATCCAGCTTGAGGAAACAAATAAAAATATACCTGCTCAGAGTTCAAAATAGTATCCCATAGCAATAATAATTCATATTTCTATGGATCTTTCTCAGGGCTCCCCAGATGTCATCACCCATTGATTCCTGGGAGGCCCAGGAATGCTTGTTTATACAGTTAAGTCCTTTTACCCTTCAGTGATGCTCACAATCTCCCCTGCTTGCCAAGGCAATGAGACTAGGCTTGCTACTGCCACAAGTCTCTAAAATTAAACTGCCTGACAGTAGAGGTAAAAAATGCTGATAAAACCTGATAAAAATATGTAGCCAGTACTGATGGCTAAGCACTGCCACCATTCCCATCCCATCCTTGCTGTGCCTGCTATCCCCACCTTGATGAAACACAGCCTTGGGGGCCCTTTTGATACAATGCAATTCTCAGTATATTGTTGAAAACTTTAATTCCTCAAAGTCATAAGATATTCCAAACAGTAATAGTTTGTGCCTTCAATATCTCAATACCTGTAGGATCTCTCAGGATATATTTCATAAAGCATTAGCTCCTCAAGTGGTAATACGTATCTCATATACAAAGAATTTCATGAACAAAC